AATGGGGGGGGGTGGGAGCCCTTAAATGTGCCCCCCCCACCCCCGCCCCAAGCGCGGGGGAGGTGCCCCCGTGGGAGCGCGCGGCCGCCGTGGGCAGGGCCGCGGCGCGGGAGGCGGTGATGGATGTTGCGGAGGGAAAGTTTGGAGCGGAGGGGGGGGGGAAGGAGCACGTGAACAAGGGGGTGCAGCGCAGGGAAGCGGGGGGGATCGCCCCTGGATGGTTCCCCCCCACACACCCCGTGTCTCGATGGCTCTGTGATCGCCCCCAAACGGAGGTTTCCCCCCCGCAGCCCCGGCTGGGAAGGCAGCGTTCGCGTGCGGGGCGAAATTAAGGCACATCCCGCGTGCAAGGGGGCTCCTGTCTTCTCCCACACGCCGGTAATTGCCGCGGTGCTTACGGTCGGAGCAGGAAACGGGGGCCTTCGCGGAGGGGGATATTTTTATTTTGCAAGAAGTGCCTTGAAAGGAGCCCCTCGGAAGTGCTGGGAGCCCCTCGGAAGTGCTGGGCGAGGTCTCCGGCGCCCTCCGAGAGGCTAAAATAAAGTTTCCCCCGTCGATTTTCACCAAGTTCCCCCTACATGGATCGGTCTGTGTGTTTCAAACGCTCAAATCCAGACCCAAACCAGTAGGACTATTCCTAATTAATACAGCGCCGCTAATGASTCAGCAGAAGCCAATCGTTTTCGTTGTTGCTCCCAATAATTTGATTGAACGCAGCCGTGTTTCTTTAAGAGAGAGGGGGGAAAAATCGCGAAACAAACATTTCCACGTTCATTTTTCAACATGGCAGTTACCCCATAGCGGAAATATAATTCCTGGCCCAGGGCAGGGACAGTAACAGAGCTGATGAAATTCGCCGAGATGCTTTTAATTCAGCCGTAACCCTGCAGTTCCTGGAGATAACATGAGGTTGCTCACTCCAAGCTGTGTTTACTCATAATACGTGCCCATTACAGCAGATTGAATAGCCTAGTTTTAAACGTGCTCTGGTGGAAAGTGACATTCGTACGAGCTCTCCTTCCTAAAGCAGCCTTAAACCGAGACTTTTGTTGTTGTTGGAGGACTATTTATCTCATTTCCGGGGGCTGATTACGATACCTATAAAACAGTAGTGAGTTAAAACCTTTCCCCACAATAGTTCGTATTGTTCACAGTCTCAGCTGGACTTTCACATTCAGATGTTGATTACCTCTAATTTTTGTTTTTCAGCTTCCTTAACCCCTTCATCCAAGCAAAGCCATAAACACACCTGGTAGAATTACATCTCTCTAGCTGCATTCGCTGCATGCTTTGAGAGGTCATTTGGAAAACATGTATTTACTGAGAGGCAGCCTTCCCCGGAAAAGCTTTTTTTTTTCTCTCTCTCTTTTTTTTTTCTTTTAACTCTCTGCAAATAGAGTTAGGGGAAAAAAAAAAAGAGGGGAGAAAACAACAAGGAAAAAAAAAGTACACAAGGGAGTAAATGCAAAGCCGTGTTTAAGCGAGCAGATTTTTCACACCATAGGTCAAAACGAAAATGTGCCATGAAAAAATAATACTTGGGGCATGTGAAACCCCTCGTCCAATACTTTAAAAAGTTGTGGCTGGGCGGGCTTTTGATTTAATCCATCACAAACATACGCACAAATAAAAAATCGCGAGAGGTTCAGTCGCATTCACATTTTAGAACATAGGCTACATATTGATTTGATTTTGTCTTTTTCTTTTCTTTTTTTCTTTTCTTTTCTTTTTTTTTTCTTTTTTGTTTTGTTTTCCTGTTCTTTCTGGTTCTCTCTTTCTCTGGTTGTCTCTTTCAAGTTATTGTTTGCGTCCAAATCAGACTGTTGAAATCCTGACCACAGGCGGTGGAAATATGTCGTCGTTGACCCCACGATATTAAAAAGGACTGAATTTTGCACATTTGCCTGCCTGGGTCGTGTTAGAGTTACAGTGACAGCTAAACAATCTGCAGTGCTATCTTCGCTTCAGTCACATCCATGCATCCTCTCCGCTCCTTCCCYTACCCAAGAAGCCCCTCGAATTACAATAGTCTGCAACTCTCGAGCTCTGCCAGAGAAAATAATAATAATGATAATAAAAATAATAATAAAAAAAAAGACCAGAATGTCCTGACTCGGCACGTTTCGCAGCAGTTTTCCTCCACCGCTTCCCGCCGGAAAGCCCAAAGGCACTCGCTGCCTTTTCCCACTGCAACCAAGTCACACACTTTGCAACACCCATTTATTTCATCCGCCTTTTATTGGGTTGCCGGCGGCCCCGGCCRCAGCGCCGGGCGCCGCGCTTTGCTCCGCACCTCCCGCCGGCCCGGTACAGGTGCGGGGGCAGTTACCCTCTTAAGCTTAAAAGCCTCCTTCTCCTCGCATATAAATCCACTTACAGACCCCTCTCATGCTCGGCAGTGTCACAGAAAACAACCTTTAACTAATAGCTCCTAATCCAAACAGTTTGGGCAAGGAGAACCATTGTTTAGACTGSACTGGTATTAGGGACCTCAATTGGGGCGGGGGGCAAGGAGGGAGGCAGGGCAGAGCGCATCCTACCCAGCCAGTTACCAGCGTGATATTTTACAGTTGACACCAAGGTAAAACCCGAGGGGAAGAGGAGGGGGGAAGAGCCAACCCTGCCGGAATATCCTGTCCACGAGCGAGCCGCGATGCTCAAACAGACCGATGGGTTTATTGCCATTATATTTTTCTCTCTCTGCTTTTAATTTTTCGGCGGCCGAGGGCGATGCCTCGGGGAGCCCCGCGGCTCGCGGTGCTGCCCTGGCCAGGGGCCGCGGGGCCGCTCCGCGCCCGCCTCCGCGGTTCGGCCACGCCGTGGCAGCACTGAGCACCGCGGCCCCGCAATAAATAATCCGGCGCTCGCTGCAGCTCCACTCCGGCGGATACCGCATTGCAAATGTGCAGCGCCAGCACCCCCGCCTCCGCGGCCGGCGTTTCTCGCGCCTCCTCCCGCGCAGAGGCGGCCGCGGAGCCGGCGCCGCGGCTCGGAGGCGCCGCGGCGGCCCTGCTTGCGCGGCGCGGAGCGGAGCGCGGCTCGCTGCGCGCTGCGGAGCCGGCTCCCCGAACGGGRAAGCGCCCGCCGCGGTGCGCGGAGGCGCCGCGGGGCAGCTCCGCTCCACCCGCGCTGCTGCGCCCGCCGTTCCGCGGCACGCAGGGCTGCAGCCAAACTGCACCTCCGCGCTTCTTCCCGGCTCCAGGAATAACCTTTCTCCTGGACATGCCAGGAGACACAGCGTTGGCTTTTTCCTTTTTTTTTTTTTTCCTTTTTTTTTTTTTTTTTAACCCCCCCCCTTTTTTTGCCCCTGAAATGGTCAAAAATATGAACATCCACATGCATAGCTAAACACATTAACTTCAGCCTAAAGCTGCGAAATAAAAATTAGTGTTTAGGATTTTTCTTTCATGCTCTAAATGAAAAAAAAAATCCCTCGAAATGATGCTTTAAACCAGAATTATTAGAAAATAATAATCCGAATGTCACGGCAACCCCCTAGCAGACACAAGCAGAAATAAACTTGGTRAAAAATCCACGGCTCCCTTGCTAAATAATAGAAAGTAGACATTTTATTTAGGAATATTTTTTGCATGCACATGTTAAGTCAAAACATACTGAGCTGCAGGCACATCTATTTTTGGYTGGTCACATTTCCATTTGATACAACTGCACATGTCTAATATTCAAACGCATTAAAGTATGTTTCCCTGCTTACAGTAGTGTCGTATACATTTCTCACCTTTTAGGTTCTGGCTCACAGGAGCCCCTGCGACTTTGACAGCTGTCGCTTTGGCTGCACAGGAGACGAATCGCCCTCCTTTTGGTGCCAGAAGAAGCAGGAAATTAGCCAGGTTGCAAGTTGAAAATCTGCCACGCCAGTGCTTTGAATCCAATATGCCACACCTTCCAGCGGGGGAACTGGAAATTGCCATCCCGGATCTGTGTTCTAGGCGGCTGCTTATGCCGAACCTCCGCACACTTTGCTCACTATTGCCTTACAAAGGACAAATGAAATGGGGATTGAAAGCCAGAGAGATCCGAAGCAGGACAGAGCTCAGCAAAAGAATGCGGCTCTATTCTCGCAAGGGAAATTATAAAAAAGTTCATGTTCACGGTTACCATCCACATGACCGACGAGGACCAATGGAAAAACCGAACAACTCATAAAGTTGTATTGCAAAGTTGTAAATTTTCATAAACAACAACGGATTTATGGCCTTTTCCTCATCACTAAGAAGAGGCAGGTCTTAGAGAGGCGCCATCTTACCACAGAGGCAGCCCTGGAGTTTTTTAAAAGACCTGGAGTTTGCACTAATTTTATTAAAATTGTAATTAGTGCTTTGACCAGCAACCGAAAGCAGAAGAAATAGGGAAGTTCCGCTCATAYGAGGCTCGCATTCTACCTGTTTTTCACTGGCCTTATTAAGGGACTTTTAAATTTTATTTTATTTTTATTATTTTAAATATTTAATCCTGTTGGCGTTATGTGCTGCCTGACAAAACCTATATATACATTTATATATATTATTATTCAGGGCGAATTTCCTTTTTTTTTTTTTTTTTTTTTTAATCCCGTCCTGCGGCCCCACGTCCGGATAAAGCCGCACAAACCATCTCGTTCCCGAATAGATTTTTTACACTCGCAAGTTTCGTATCGCACTTTCCGTTCATTACCAAATATTGTGGCACTGCCTGCGATTTCGGCTCGGTCACGGGCCGCCTGCGCTGGGCTTATGATTTCAGGAGAAGACGGTGAAAGGACGCCCTCCCATTAAAAAAAGGCTTTCCGCTTTATTAATCAACTGCGCTGGGAAAAAAAAAAAAAAAAAAAAAAAGATACAGAAAATGACTGATTTCTATCAATTTATCATCTTGATTTTTTTTTTCTTTATGATTACACGGCGGGGGGAAGGATTTATATGGTTTAATTTCTTTATTTCTGTGTAAATTATTTTTAATGCTTCCTTCGTACTGTTTCGCTAATAAAGAAGCACAATTCATTGTCAACAAGCATATTTATTTTCTGTGTAACATAAAACACATTTATCGTGGGAGATTCTTGAACACGGTATCACTTCCAAAGAGAGTTCACAGACGATTTTTTTTCCACTTCCAATACTTACACGGCATATCCAAATGTTCACAACGAACACATCGAAACACATTGTAACATACAATTTTTGAATAAACTTTAGCCAAACCTTCAAGACGGATTTATACAGAATTCTTAACAATACGTCATGCTACAAAGTTTCCAAATTAATTACATACTTCCCAATTTGTGACATGATCTTACAAATGAGCTCCAAGACAAATATAAATGACAAAAAAATCGTTCAAATATACAGTATCTGCTATTGTAGGAAAATTCACGGTATTACATATTAACACATTCGAATAATCAGGACAAACAGTTTTTTGATAGGTGGCAACATGGTCATTTTAACTCGCTTTTCAAAGAACWCTTTCGCTATATTCAGCAAGATCAAACTAGCATAAGAAAACGGCCTTTAAAAGAGCCAGCCAAAGGTAGAAGCCAACGGAAGATATTAAACCGCTTTGTACAATATTGGCGTGTATTTGCTTCCTCACTCGGAAGAGTAAAGAATCGAGAACAGAGATATATTGCAGCATATGGTTTTCATTTATAATTGCTTTGGAATAAATATATTATTTTAATTTTAAATATATTCAGCCTTTTCGGTACCAAATTCTATACCAAAGCTATTGATGCATGCTTCTCGAATGACTACACTTATGTATCTATAAGCATTTTGCGATTCACATTAGTACGTTATCTTCTCTGACTACTAAAATACAGTATACTTTAAAAGATAGGTAGGCGGAGCAAGATATATAGGTAGTCTGGAAAATAGGTAGTACAAATCATTGTAGATTGTAGTGGTTTGTGTAACATCTCCCCCCCGCCCAGTTGCAGTATAACCTTTTGTTAGTGTAGCTGTTAGTTATGATATTTTCATAATAATAATTAAAAGGAAAAAAAAAGAAATAAATGAGAAGTGCAGAGCTACTTATTCAAAATTAGGTAGTTTTTTCCCCCTCAATATGAGCCTAATGCACTTTTTCCCTTTACAAATGATCGGGACTCTTGAGTCAGGTAGTTACTTYGGAAGGTCACGGTTTACTCTATGTGCAAGCAGCAGCCCCTGGACACGGCCACCCAAGCTTGGGTGAACGAAACCCAAGTGATTGTTGGGTGCTCTTAGGAGATATTACCAACAGGTTTGGGAAAGGACGAGATTGGGAAGAGTGGGAGGCTAGAGACGGGACTGGAAACCCAGCCTAGGAAACGCTTTAATGTTTTTTAAATGCTTGCTTGCAAGATATTATTAAAGGGAACTGATTTTTCTTCTTTTTTTAATAAAAACAGAGAGTCTCTCTTTTTTCTTTTTACCCTCTTTTTTTTTTTTTTTTTTTCTTTAGAAGGAGCCTTTACAACTGTCACGTGCATACATTATACTAAGGGGCTGATTCCTCGATGGGACCTTTTAGTCCTCCTCTTCCTCGTCTTCCTCCACTTTCTCCACAGACGCTGCTGCTGACGTGGGCTCATTGGGAGCCGGGGTGCTGGAGCTCTCCTCCTTGTGCTCCTTCTTCCACTTCATCCTGCGGTTCTGGAACCAGATTTTGATCTGCCTCTCGGTGAGGCACAGGGCATGGGCGATCTCTATCCTCCGCCGGCGAGTCAGATAGCGATTGAAGTGGAATTCCTTCTCCAGCTCCAGGGTCTGGTAGCGGGTGTAGGTCTGGCGCCCTCGCTTCCTATCTGGACCTGAAACCAGGCACACACGTCCACGAGTTAGGCAGGAAGATAAGTGGAAAGTTTTTTCCTCATTCTCATTTTTCTTCTTTTTTTTTTCCCCCTTTTTTATTCCTTTTTTTAAAATTCCTTTTTTTTTTTTTTTTTTTAACAGCAAAATCCAGCAAAACAGAACGTCCAAGTGAGAGTCAATAACCTCCTTCTCTCACTTCCACCCGCCCCCCCACTTTGCCCTAACAAAGACATTTCTGCTACACGACCTGCCCTGCTCGGGCAGGGCAAAAATTAAGTTGCTCGAGACATAGCAAAAGTAAAGAGAAAGCATTCAGGAGAGGAGGTGGGGGAGGAAATTGCTTTTGGGAGGAGGAACTTTCCCCCAGGCGATGTATTTCCCTAAAACCTTCCAGACTTTCGCGTTTCGCAAGGGAAAATTAAAAAAGCTGGAAGGCTGGGCTGTATTTATTTTATTTTAATGTCAGGGGGCTCCCCCACACCCCCTCCCCCGCCTAGATCGTAAACAATACATCGCATTTAGCTCCAGAAGGACGCTCTCGTTTTTCACACAGTCTCCCCCCTCAACCTTCCCCCCCCACCTCCCTCCCGCGCGTTTTCCTGTTTAGCGATTTTCTATAGATTTTTATCTCCATGGAAAAGAGCAGGGGCTCAGGAGTGACACGTCTCCCTGCCGGGGGGCCGGAGAGGTCCGTGGGAGCGCGGGCCCCGTTCCGGGACGCCCCTCTGCCCTCCGCGTGCGCCCCCGAGCCGCGCTGGGTGCCCGCCTCGTGCCCGTGGGCGGGGGAGGGGGGTCACACTCACCCGTGGGGGCTCGCGGAGCGCGCGGCCGACTCGCCCCGTTTCCACGGCGAACAGCGCAAATAAAGTCACTGCCCCAATTCCATAGCAAACGGAGTTAAATAAATTTACGAGGATAGAACCCATTAATTGGGCAATAAAAAGTTTTATGATACTCATTTACATACAATGCCACGGGCTTTCTACGCAATGGCGCCTCGGCTATAATTAAAACCATAAAGGCTGTGCTGACAGTAATTTTGGCGACACGCTCAGCCTGGCGGCCACAGCTCCAGCCCTGTCCGCTTGCCCCTACCTGAAGACCTCATCCAGGGGTATATCCGGAAATTAGGCTCAGCCTGGTTGTGCAGGTTGCTTTCCTCCGCTTTCTCACAGCTGGGTTTGGTTAGGTCATTGCAGAGGACGGGAATGTTCTGATCAAAAGAGGAACAATGCAGGTTGTAGGCATCAGAGCCCAGGCTGTATCCGGAAGAGAACGGGCTTTGATATATGGTACTGTTCACATTGTACAAGCCGGGCATGGAGGAGGCGAAGGCACCCGCGCCTGGTCCATAGCCGCTTCTCTGGGAGTTGCTTGCAAAGGAGCAAGAAGTAGGCTCTGCATTTTGGAAAAGAGAAGCCCCCGCCGTATATTTGCTAAAAAGCGCATTCACATAATACGAAGAACTCATAATTTTGACCTGTGATTTGTTGTCCGGCAGGCTTCAGTGTCGGTTTTACGAGGTAGCGTGATATATGATAACATTACACCCCCAGATTTACACCAAACCCCATTTTCTTTTGGACCGAGCTGCCTCCAGCACGTGACCGGTCATATGACGCCGCCCGCCAATCCCCGCCCGCCTCACAGGTGGTGCCGGCCGGGGGCCGCCGCTGCCCGGCCATGGACGGGGCCGCCGCGACGGCCCGGCCCGCTTCGGCTCCGCTCCGCTCCGACTCGGCCTGCCTGGGCCCGGCCCGGCCCGGTCCCGCGGGGCCCGGCCCGCTTGCGGAGAGCCGCCCCGCAGCCCCGCGCCGYGCTGCCGCCAACGCGGGGGACAAGAGCAGACTGAGGCCATGTGCTCCCCGTGGGGAAAAGGGGTGGCAGAAACTCCCGGGGAGCCCCCCCGTCACCCAGGCGGCCCGAGAGCTCTGGAGAGGAGCCTGCAGAGCGGCGGGTCCCTGCGCGGTGCCCCCCTGGGCGGCGGGGGAGCCCCTGTCCCTCTACCCCCCCGACAGCCGGGGCACCTGAAGGCGAGGCACCCTAAAACCCTCAAAAGGCTGAAACTAAGATCCCCCCCAAACCAAGTCCTTGGCTCATAGGGTGAAGTGACGCTGAGGGTGAAGGTTCCCCCAGGACAGGGAGTCCCCGTCGCAGCCCCTGTCCGGCCCCGCGGCCGTTTCCCAATCTCTGCCTGAACCTTGAAAATCAAGGCTGCAGGCCCGCCGGCTTCGCTGCGTGCCCCGTCCCTTATCGCACCGAGATTCCCCGCTGAAGGATATATATATGTGTGTATATATATATATATGAAGGATATATATATATATATATATGAAGGATATATATATATATGAGAAGGATATATATACGCCTAATGTATATACACACACACATATATACACATGTATATATATACACACACACACATATATATACATATATATAATAAAAAAAGAGGGGCGAATTACAGCGAGGACTCTATTTTCCTAATACCTCTTCTCCCGAGGAAAAAAAAAAAAAAAGCCATATACATATATATGTGTATATGTCTATATGAGTCGAAAGAAATGCCTTTATAGTGGCGACTCAGTTCTCAGGCACCTATTTAAAGCCCCTTTTACTTTTCCATCGTACGTACCTTCCAGTCCTAAGCTCGAGGCGGCAACGTTACCCTTAGACCGCGGGCAACGTTGTTGGTTTTCTAACCCCGCAGCTCCTCAACAATGAGCAGGGCTTTGCATTGAGGATGCTGCGCCGTGCCCTTCCTTTAAACGGATCGTAAAATGAGTTTCCTTCCCTCAGACAGGGAGTCCTGGTAAAGACAGCTTTTACTGCCTGCCTGGATTGCACATCATAAACTGGAAGGAGCACAATGGAATTGCCCCGGAAATTCTCCTTTCAATTATAGTTTGGTGCCCCGTGTACAAAGACTTTCTCACCAGTTAAAATGGTTCTCGGCGATATTTCGCACGGACCCTAAACTTTGCGTTTTGTAAGCGCGGAACACCCCTCTCCCCCGCTACCCGCTGCTCTCCCCCCGCGCACACACACCCTTTGGGACTCTTTATGCCTGCTTATTGCAGCCCTATGAATATAGGTTACTGACAGGAGCAAATAAATTCTCTAAGGCGAGAACCCTGCGATATTTGTGCTCCGACATGCAAATGTGCGCCCTGTATTTAGATACTTGCCAAGTGTTAGGCAGCTGAAAATGCAGTTATTATTCGCAAGCGCAAGGGAGGAATGCGGAGAAAGAGCCTTTTCTTCATTTCTTTATTTCAGTTCTCCAATATTAGGCAATATGCCTGCGGTTGCAAAGCGCAATGTGGGAATATTGCGGCTGAAAGGGGCTGCTAGAAAGGAATAAAGGCCCATGAAGTTAAACGAAAGCGAAGCAAACAAGACAACGACGACGGAGATCAAAGAGGCTGAAGTAGATGTCATTAGACCAATAAATTGCTTCTCTGGTGACAACATACCAAGATGCAAGAAGAAAGAAACAGCAAACATAACCAGTGTCTAGACTTAAATATTGCTAGTACAGGGCTGAATGGAATAGCCGAGCGTTTTTATTTCAGTTCTCCCTTTCTGTTAATATGTGCATGTTTATTTATTTATCCCTGTGCATATATATTCCAAGTGCCTAGGAATACAGTTTTTCTTTCGCTTTCAGACCTTTCTGCCGACTCGTTAGATTTCTCAATAATATACATAGCTCCTTTCATCATTGAATAAAACTTGCTGGGATTCCTAGACATGTGTTCCCATCACCTTTACACCTTTCGTCCCTTACTTGTTCGTCAAAGAGCAGGATAGCACTGCCTCTGAAATAGACTTTTAAATATAATCCTGACGTATATATTTATAAATTAAAGAACTGCTGTGTCATCGCCACTGAAAAATGGAACATAATTTTGTCTTCGAGAAAACCACGAGCCACCACAAAAAGCCCTGTTTCGGGCATTGCAATATTCTCACATACTTAAAAAAAAAGCGATTTCTCTAGCCTGGATTGTATTTATATATATATATTTATTACTGTTATTTTTCGCCTGAGTCTGGACTATTACGCTTTAAATTCGGAGTTTTTCCGGGAAGTAAAAGGTAGTGATAAAACGGTGCTCCTAAGTTATAAGCGACCTGGGAGCACTACAAGATTATGGTTTGTGTGTGCAGCAGTATCTTGATGTGGCTGATACCAGACAGGATTTTGTTGTTTTGAAATCTCTGCTCTCCGTTATTTACCCACAAATATAATGGAACATACTGTGCCAAGATATTACTTAGTATGACGAGGCACAAACACTTTCTAATCACAATATTATTTTAGTGCCCAAGGAAAAATAAAAATTAATCATAACACGTTTAGCAATGCTATTCTAGACGAACATTTGATAGCGAAGCGCTTATTAGAAAGCAGGGAGTGGCTCTGGCAATTTATCCCTAGAAAGAATTAAATCTTTGAGATGATGTGTGGAAAAGAAAATAGCACAGTGTTCACATTCCTGCCCGATGGAGAATTTCGATGTAAAGAAACTGGCTTTGATTCAAGGAAATGTATATAAAGCAAAGAGAAAGTAGTTCTATTACGGAGTCCTATGTAGCGATTTATTTACGTGTCTGGCATTAACTTGAAAAATACAACGGTGGTACTTCAAACCACATTTTATGCTTCCCTTCCTCCTGCTTTTATTTCTCTTCCAATTATTTGTTCTGTGTGTGTGGGTTTCTTTTCTTTTTCTTTTTTTTTTTTTTTTCAGCTAACTCGAAAATACACCACCTTTCCCATCTAAGCATTCACAAAGACGCAGAATTCCAAAATTGGGGAAGAAAACGGGATACGTATATTTCACATACATATACTCCGTATTTATATGTTATATATGTAAACAGCTCCTGGGAAGAAAATAACATGCTGGAAGAAGCTCCGAATGACTTTGAAAGACATGTCAAGTTTGCAGAGGATCAGGCTGCCAGCATCTGTACAATATAACTCCGGCGGGTCCCACAGAGCTGGAATTGCTGGGGACACAAGCGGAGCCTTTTATTTGTATCAAAGACAGCTGTTGCAGAGTTTTGCTCGACGGTACATTATTCTGAAATGAAGGTTTCTTCTGCTGCCGTTCCCTGCGCCCGACGAAGCGGCTCGTCGGCGGATCTTGCGCTCCCGTCGCTCCCGCCTTGCAGGCGAAGACGCTCCCTCGAAGACCCTCCTGTTTGGGGCTCTTTGGGGGGACCCACCGAGCATCGGTGATGGTCCTGCCCTGATGATATTTTTTTTTTCAGCCCTGAAATCTCCCCGTTCCGCAAATATTGCATTTTTCACCATGAGCCCAGCACAGTGCCTGCGGGCGCAGAAGCTCACCGGGGAAGGGCCGAAATTTAGGGAAAGGCAAAGATAAGCGGGCAGCGCGCCCGGGGCCCGGACTGCTCCCATTCCCTGCTCCCTTCCCTAGGGTTTGGAGCAGGATAAACGCGGCGTGTGTCCCCCGAGCAAGCGTCACCTTTGCAAGGGCTGCCGTGCAGCGCACGCAGCCCAAACCGCGTCCAGGGGTGGGAGGGAGGAAAGAAATGCGAAACAAAAAAATAAATAACTATAAATGAATGATACTAATAAATATAAAGAAGGCGGACCCCGCCACGCTGGAGCGCAACGCGCCCTTGCGCGCCCGTCAGCGTCGACATTTTAGGAGGGCGGCGGGGCGCGCTGATGGCGGCGCGCGCCGGCTGCGCGCGTTTCGCGGGCGCGCAGCGCCACCTGCCG